TATATAGATAGATAGATAGATAGACAGACAGATAGATAGATGACAGACAGACAGACAGATAGATATATTCGTGTTTATATCTTCAGTTTTTTAATATAATATATAAATTCTTGCTGTTTGTTGTTTCATATTTTGCAGCAATATTATGTATCACGTAACAATTGAACTACAAATTTGCTTAAATTGTTTTGTGGCATTACATGGTTTGCGTAATTGCATCATCATGGCAAAAAAATGTAAATGCACAAAAAGTTAATAAGCATCTTTTTCTTCGAGAAAAAAAAAAAAAAAAAACGTATATTTATTCGTTCCCTGGTTAGAAAGAATAGTCACCACAGAAATTAACAAACATGTACTTGGGAACATAAAACTGCTGTTGTTCTTGCTGCATCTTTATTTAAATGCTTTAAATATTTTAATATAAAAGTGTATGCACTGCAAGAGTTTGATTGCAAGTTAAAATAATTAAATAGTGTGTGCGTGATTTTCAGCAAGTTCACAGTTATTTTGTTTACTTTTTACTTTTATTTTTTATGCATACACTCTCTGTATTAAGTATGCACTTTGAATCTTGCAGGCCAGAAAAAAAAAAATCACTTGCCCCTTTTTTTCTTTATAATAATTAATAATAATAAATATTTTAGAATTATTTATTTATTACTTTATTTATCACCATGCTAGCGTCAATAATTATACTCAAATAAATAAATAAAATAATACAATATATAATTAAACTTCTTACAAAATTAAAATAACTAGATACAATCTTTCAGTGTAACATTTGATAGAAATTCTAAATATTTCCTAGGAAACCTTAAAAAAACGAAATTTCTGAATACAACTGTTGCCTACACCTCCTTTTCTTAGGCAAAAGTTGTATTCAGAAATGTCAAATACATATATATATATATATATATTTATGTCTTGAAATACTGTTTTAATAGTAAAACAACAATTCTAGATTGGCCCCCATTCACTCCCAGATTATTGATTTTCTTTAAAGAAATAGAAGAAGAATTCAAAATCAATTTGATCAAAATTATGCCACAATTGATCTTAAAGGTATGCAACCAAGAATATTCCTTTAACATCCCCAGTAAGAATATTATCAGAGTGGAGAAGGCTGCAAAAGTTCAATCTAACATGGCTCTATGGGATAAGGTTTTGCAGACCTTAGGATTCTTAAATACAGTATGTACAATTTTTCATTATGACATGATTAATCTATGACATTTGTTATGATATTCTCCAGATTTCTCAGAGAGACTCTGGAAATCAAGCCTATATTACTAATCCATTTTGTCTCGAGTGGCACATGACCGGAAAGGTACAGTGTGTCCTGTAAGCTTATCAAGCTATGCCTGTATACTGTATAAACAAACTAGCTCCCATCAGCTCCTACTAATGTGACATATACTGCCATCTAGCGGAATACAATAGAATATTATAAAGCAGTTATAATAACAGTTCTGAAATATAACTAGATGCTCCACGTTGGAAACAATAGCCAATACATAAAACCTATCAAATTCAATATCCATTTTTGTTTTATTTTTAAGTTACAGCAACTAACGTAAGAAAAGGCAGACAAGGAATGATTAAAATGAAATCATTTGTTAGTGAAAAAACACTAGTTAACAAGTTCATGAGGGCATTTTGCTTTGTGCCATATAATGTGGCTACCGGAAAATATGTTCATTGATAATGTATCAAGAGATCTAGTCTCAAACATGAAGACAAAAGATAACTGCCCTGCCAACATTAGAAAGTTGGCATCAGTGAGACAGAGGAGCATCTAAGAGTTGGCCCCCGTCCGAGGGCCTTTCATGACGATGATCTTTGCCTCATCATCAATCTCATCCATGCTTCTCTCCTGCCTGACTGAGAGAATGGTGTAGCTGACTGATGCAGGGGTTAAGGCCATTACGTCATACAGCTAGAGATATAATAACTTATTAGTTAATAATTGGCTCGATTGATTTGTAGTTATTCATAATTGGTGGGTAGGTATTCGTTCATAAAATTGTAATCATACCATTTTGGTAGAGACTCAACATACATATTAGGTCACGATTCACCTGAAAATGTGCTAATAATAACATTTTACAGAAACAGAAAAGTCATGGTGCTACCATTTATTTCACTATGGTCATACCATGCCTTTTTGTCCCATTGTAATCTTTAATATATCATACAAATATCATGGTACATGACTATGGGAATCATTATTTAACATTAACTTTGATATATCAAGGAATCATATCATAATCATCATTGTCCTTTGGTACTCTTACAAAAAGGTTATTATGACTTTACATTACCTTAAAATCATAAGGCAAAATCATAATGAAATGAAAAGTAATAACGTTAGCCTTTAGAGTTTTCAAGACAGTCCTGTAAATGTGTAAAATTAAATCAGTGGTTAATACCAGGTAAACAGTTTTAATGTAGTAACTGGGAGTCGGAAAGCATGAACAGTACCTACATTGACTGCATTTTTTAATTAAATGTGCAAAAAGATGTTTATCACTTATTAAACTAAACCAGTTGAGGCTGAACTGTCCTGTTATGAAACTATGAAGGATACATAGGCCTAGCACAAAGGCTCCGATGGTCAGGCCCGTGATCAAATTACGGCTTCGCAGTTGTTTTGAGTGCCTCTTCCAGTGCTCCAGTTCCTGCTGTCTTTTAAGGAGCCGTGTCTGAGCAGGTGTAAGAGGTTTTGGCGCTGTTGAGGACGCGTCCTCAGTCTTTCCCTCCATGTTTGTCTCGTGTTGCGTGACGTTCTGCGCTGCACCAATCAAATAATCCATACGCGGATACGTCAGATGCCTCGATGCGAACAACCAGGAGGTGTCGCTGTGGAACTATGAGGAATAGGACTTGACAGAAATTAAATTAAAACTCCTGGCCCTCATTTAATCGACTGCTATTTCACTATGGAGGGCCAAACCTGAAATTCTACATTTATTTCCTAATGGAAAATATTTCACAAAATGTAGTTCTGAACTTATATTTCTCATTTATTTTGTTCTAATTTCTCATGTGTAACAGTTACATACTGTATAACATAAGCCTTCTTACTGAAATTTACTATGACTCTTATTTTAGCCCATAAAAAGACATCATTCTAAACATAGTTTTAATACATGTTTTTATGTTTAATGAATTTGACTTAATCAAGCATCTAACAAAGACACCTTAACCTTGACCAGTATATTATAGCATTGTATATTGTAGTGTAACATGTAAAAAATAAAAATAAACACTATATCACATATTTTTCAAAAGTCAGACAATTTGGAGAACTGGACTGAGTTCAGCCCCGACAAAAACGGTGCAAAACGTTTTTTAAACGGAAACGGTGGTGCGTTGAACGCCCTGTTCTGATGACACGTTTCTGCTGATTGGGCTGACATGTTTGACACACCCACCAAACAAGAGAAAACGCATCTCAAACCCCGTTGCACACCGTTTCCAGGAAACATGTCGTTCAAACCGGAAACCGTAGCAAAACGGTGCACACTGGTTTGAGCTTGAACTTGCCCCAGGTGATTGAAAGCTGGAAAATATTGCAGGAAACAGGAAACAAAGACAAGAGCCAAAGAGTGAAAATGAAGGCACCGTATTTATTTATAATTTCTCACATTGCATTGATCTATAGTCCAGTGGTAATATCTATTCTCTATTTTAAATTGATGTACACACTTTTTATCTGACAAAATGACTGTATATATGCACTCTTATAATACTAAAAAAAAAATTGTTATTTCCATTTCCTAGAATTCTGTAATTCCCAGTGTAAAAACTATGCACATATTTGCATAACATTAAATATGGTCTATCTGTTTTATTTACAGAATATTTATCTCTGTAATAAAATGAAATTGCCAATTATTTCTTAACCATATTTTTATATAAACAACATATTTAAAATATGTACAGTTTAGTCTATATCCACAGAGTTCGTTTTTAACACGCAATGCACATCCATACGTTACTGCTAAATGTTCTATTGTTCATTATATTCATTTTCATACTTCTGTGCAATGTCCTGTCTGCATTTTATAACAATATTTCATCTTAGAGACTAAAGACAGTAAAAAATGTTAGTCATACAGTTGATTAATTAAACACCTTTTTCTCAGCCTCCTGAACAATAAGGTTTAACCAGTACTGCACCATATTGGTGATTAAGCACACATTAAATCCAGGTGTCACCATCAAGATCTTTGTTCAGAGAAAAATTACAAATCAACCAAATATCCATACCTTTGTCGAGTATATTTACTTGTTCATACAACATTTGCACAGAAAACTCAAAGGAAAAAGCTGTTTGGCTAACTGAAAAGTGTTGTTGTTCCACAGGAACAGTTTTTGGTGAGTAGCAATAATATACAGTATATTATTCAGTAACATGTACAAGTATGTGCGCTGTATGTATAATACCTTTAAAGCAATTGTTGTAAGTTATTTATTATTAAGGACTCCACGACTGTCATCTCGAACATAACATTTTGACAAACTAGACATTTTCTTTCTTTATTAGATCTGTTTGATCATATCGGCAGATGATCCCTTCGGCTTCTTGCTCTCTTGATTTCGGCAGTACCAAAAACACAGATTGCATTAAAGAACAAGGCAGTTTCGAGGTTTCGCAATGCACTTATTTGTTGTGATATTTTGGCTTTGATTGACTGGGACAGTCAATATCCAATCAGTAGACAGAAAACAGTCGGTCACCTTGTTCACTTGGGAATATGAGAAGATGGTGCTGATGGGTGTTTTCTCTTGCTTTCCATTGGGTGATTTCATTTGGTTTGGAAGAGCTCATTGAACTCGTTGAGAATGAGCTCCACGATCTGATTCTGGAAGACCATGTGCATGGTGATGTTGGACTCCTCCTGTGGTCTCAGCAACGTTGGACCGAACACGATGGCCATACTTTGGACAGACATGCGGTTCAGCTCACCATGCTCAATCACTCTGTGGGACAGATGGGTGTATACTCAGAACCGCTTTTCAGTAAATAGACTGAGGATGCATTTAGTACTTCTACAGTTTTTCTCGAATGATCTGATCACTGTTAATACCCAAGGCAAATGGAAGTAACAAAATAAAACAAAGAGGGTCATCATACTACTGACGTACTACATTGAAACGGAATGAAAAATAGGTCCATACTTGCGAAGATGTCTGAAGAGAACCTCCATGGTGTCATGGTTGGGCAAAGGCAGGTTTCTCACTAGATCTCGAATATATGAGACTTTCTGGCTGTAGTCACTCATTTCTAGAAAACAAATACAATTCTTGAGCTCTTAAACATGCATGAATGAGGTTTTGGTCTTGGAAATTAAACATAGTGTATTGTTTTTGTAGATACTCCCTACAGTTTCCATAATAATCAAATAGAGTCAAGTGGAATCATGAATCATTCATTTCAGAGTTCATGATGCATTGCATCATTTAGGAAAATAATCATAACCAAATCTAATTGCTGTCAAAGTAAATATACATCAATAGTTCTCATGTCAAAAATATATTACTTTTAATATCTAGCTCTTTATGAAATAAAAGCTTTTTTTATGTATATATCATGTGTCAAAACTTAAAGGGATAGTTCACCCAAAAATGAAGATGTCATCATTTACTCACTCTCGAGTTGTTCCAAACCTGTATGAGTTTCTTTCTTATATTAAACACATAAGAAGATAATTTGAAGAATGTTAGTAAACAAAGTTGCTGTTAGCCATTGAAAAAAATATAAATGGAAATGGAAATGATTAAACGGAAATCAATGGCTACTAGCAACTGTTTGGTTACCAACATTCTTCAAAATATCTTCATTTGTGTTCAACAGAAGAAAGAAACTCATACAGGTTTGGAACAACTTAAGAGTGAGAAAATAATAACAACATTTTAATTTTTGGGTGAACTAAAAAAAACAAACATTGATTTTTTTTCTTCTCTAAAATAGGACAGTAACACTCACGAATGGCGGCGATGAACCAATCAAAAAAGCTGAAGGGGAAAAGAGGCTCAGGAAGTTCACGCAGGAAAAGCTTCAAAGCTCCTGTGATCACATGGATCTCTTCCCACTGCCCATCCTCCAGATCCAGATTCTCTTCTACAGAAAGAAAGGAATATACAGTTTTATATAGTCAATAATACAGTATTGTTTATCCACCACTGCTATAATAAATAAATACATACATTCTGAAAACTTAACTGTTTAAGGAGTTTCCACACGAATTTGTGATTTTACAGCAGCAACCATTTTTATTAACATTATTTATATTATGTTTATAGCTATTTACGATAAAAAAAAACATACTTTTACAGCATTGTAAGAAAAACTATACAAGCTCTTTCAATTTGACCTCTGATAATTTTCTAAAGTTCTAAAAATTCCTCCTCATGAGAAGTTTTTAAAACATCTATTAACATTCCGAACAAAATCCTTAACTATAACTGCAGTAATTAAGGTGTTTTGGCAGATTGTTACCATTGTAAATGCATTTATTTCCAGCATTCTATAAACCTAAATGGTGGATGTATACAGTTCAAGGGTTGAAAACACAGTTAAAGTCATTGTGATGATGTGTCTAGCTCTTGTTTACCATGATCAGCTTTATATCGCAGCTTCTGGATGACAGCCAGGTTCCCGCTCACTCTGTAGAGTCCATCTATTTTCAGACCTACACAGAATCTGACACTTTAGATAACTTTTCTCACTAATGAACTTGCAAACAGACACCAAAATGAACGCTTACCCCTTTTCTCAACAGATCTGATGCATTTTTCCATAAACTTGGGCACAGTTGTGTTTTCCCGATGACAGAGGGTGTCTAGGTGGCAGCCAAACACATTCTCTGTAAACAAAGAGAAACTGAAAATTAAAACGATTTACTGTGAACATGGGATAAGGACAAGTCCATGAGACTTTGAAAGTGAGTCTTCAATATTTATAGACTGCATTTAATCACAGTCAGCGACATTAATTAAGCTCATGTTAAAAGAGGCAAAAGTCAATACTAACCTTTAATGTAGCCCTTCTCTTTGACTGACTGCAGGGTGGGCCGCCGCTGGAGGAACTTGCGTAGCTTGGTGCGAACACGGCCCTGTTCAATGTCTATGCTACTAGAAGAACTCAGTCTTGTTGCTGTAAGAAGAATATTTAAAAATACAAAGATGCTGAATTAAATGATTAATAACAGCAATGTGCTTGATGTGCATCTGATTCAGTTACTGACATTCACTCTTCCTCTCTTTATCTGCAGGCAATGGAGATTTTTCTGGGATATCTTCTGCTTCATCCTCCGAGTAATGGCCATGGTCCTGCTGTGAAAGATCACAACATCATTTTAAGAGCAAACATGACGGGATTTTGTGTTTTCCTGTTACACTGTTTGTGGCACTCACCAGCAGTCTGATGGTGTCCAGAATGATCTTGTGCCAGTCGTGTATGATGCTGTCTGTGTCATACTGTATCAGATACTCAGAGCCGTGACGTGTCTTGAGCTGCTCAGAGACATGGACAGTGTTACAGGCTTTATTATTCAAAAATATGGACTGATATATGCTGACAAGAAAATCTCTGAGGGCAAAAGCCCACAATTACTGGTGTCAATCCATGTCAAGGTAATACATTTTAAAGGGGTCCTATTATGCTTTTTCACTTTTTCAACTTTATTTAGTCTATGTTGCTGTTTGAGCATAAAAAAGATCTGCAAAGTTACAAAGCTCAAAGTCCACTTCAGAAGGAGATATTTTATTTAACAGAAA